TGGTTACTGCTTGGTGCTTCCTGCATGCCTGCACATTTCTGAACATTCTCTGTAACTGTAGTGCCATGTTTTGACTGATCTATGCATTTAATCATTTTTATTTACCTTACATTTTAAATATTTGAGTCGTGAGTTCCAAAATGCCCGACATGTCCTGACAGGAGTTGTTTATCTCTAGCTATAGTCTATGGAGAGTTTTTTGTTTCTACTGGTGATGCCCATTGTCTGGGAATGGGGAACTGAGGGGGTAGTGCCAGAACAGAGAGGGAACGCTCCCCACTCCCACCCCCGGGGTCAAATGTGCATGTTCCAGGAGCAGCATGGGGCTAGGGCAGGCAGGAAACATCCCAATGTCCAGCCCCCTCCTGCATCTCATATCCTCTACCCCAGACCTTCCTCTCAGAGCCATCACCCTCCATCCCTACTCCGTCCCAGCCCTTATCCCCCTCTCAGAACCAGCACCCTCCACCTCCTTTTGCTCCCCAACACTCTGCCCAGTTCAGAGTCCCCTCTTGTAACCAAACTTCCTTCTAGAGCTTGCACCCCAAACAACTCCCAAACCCCTGCCCCAGCTCAGTGAAAGTGAGTGAGGGTCAGGGGCTGGCCTTACCATGAGGCAAACTGAGGTGGCCACCTCAGGTGCCAGACTGTGGGGGGTGCCACTAGGACCCAGAGTGTAGAAAATAGTGTCTGCTCCTGGTGCATATGTATTCTTTCTGCTCTAGATGCACAGAAATGGTGGAGTGTTGTGCTGGAGGAACGAGGGCACAAGAGAGGTAACAGGCAGGCAGGAGAAAAGGTGCCAAAATGTTGTGGGAGGGCCCTGGTGAGGGTGGGGGAGAGCAAGCAATGGTGAAAGGGTGGTGGATGGAGTGATCTGAACAGGACAGGCTTTTGAGGAAAAGGTGGTGCCTCGGGGAAAGGGCGGGATAGATCCTGGGTTGCACTTAAATTAAAAAAGTGCTCTTGGGCACAAAAAAGTTGGAGACCACTGTATTAGATTGGGCTGTTTGACCATGGCATTGTCTTCCCCATTTTAAAAATTTTACTTTGAGCCAATCCTAACCTCTGACTTTGCTTCCATTTAAGCAATGTGCTTAATTACGTGACTACGGCTCTTGCATTGGCCAGAAGGAAAACATAATAATTTAAAATGTGATCTTACCTTCAAAGTTTAATTTGGCTCATCATACCACAATAACAATATGTATATGATTAGATTACTGTTTGTTTTTTTCCTAGAGCCATGTATTATCTCTCAGGAAGAAATGCAAAACCATGGTATAGAACTGACTGAGACATACAATGGAAAACCATACATACAGCACCGCGATTTTGTTGTGTTTAATTGCAAATCAGGATACGTACCCCAGGAATTTTTAGCTCTTTCCAATTTTACTGTGCAGTGTAATTCAGGCAATATTGTGTATCCCCACTGCAATAAAGGTATGCATTCTTCATTACATGACTATTCCTTGAGATATTTTGAACAAATTTGGAACTGAAGATCAGTACTTCATAGGCTTTTATTTGATAAATGCAGAAAAAAGTCACTATAAAAAGAGTGTGATATACAGATAACACTTGTGAAATTAATTACCTTGTATTTATTTAAGAGGGCTTCACTGTTAGCTCTTAGAAAACAACAGTTTAATAGATATCCCCATCCCAGCCCTGATCCCCCTCTCAGAACCAGCACCCTCTACCCCCTTCTGCTCCCTAATACTCTGCCCAGCCCAAAATCCCCTCTTGTACCCAAATTCCCTCCCAGAGCTTGCACCCTCACCCCCTTCTGAATCCTAACCTCTGTGCAAGCCCAGTAAAAGTGAGTGGGACTAGGGGAGAGCAAGCAATGGAGAGAGTAGATCTATCCCCATCCTTGCCAGAGGATGTTGTGGTGTTAAGAAGACCAGGACTTTAACAGGGTTAAAAAAGAGCTATTAGCCAGGATGGCTAGGAATAGTGTCCTTAGTCTCTGTTTGTCAGGGGCTGGAAATGGGTGACAGGAGAGGGATGAATTGATGGTTCCCTATTCTGTTAATTCCTTCTGGGGAACCTGGCACTGGGCACTGTTGAAAGACAGGATACTGGGCAGGATGGACCTTTGGTCTGACCCAGTATGGCTGTTCTTAAGTTCTTATGTTCTTAGAGAAGCATTTATTGTCCTAAAGTATTATCTGATATACTGTAAAAAAAAGCAGCACGCATTGGGAAAAAATAGACTTTAATGAAGAAGTCAAACTAGATGTAGTTACAGGTAAATTAGCTCTCTTGCAAATACAGAGTTCCCTGGGGTGGGCTTATGAATCTAACAGAGATGCTTCTCTATTCCTTTATCATTGGTATAGAGTTGGTAAGACATGGGATAAGTGGGATCAGAAGACAGAATTTCTTTGTTTTTAGTTCTCGGTGAAGTTCTTCACAAGAATCTGTTTAAAAAAAAAACAAGTACTCAGAATAAGGAATAAAATACTATGTAAGTTGAAAACTTGCTGGGCAATGGGAAATTTGGGCCAATGCTTAATGAGGCTGAGCAAATAGAAGGGGATTCAAATACCTTTCTACCTTTCCAGATCTGGGGCCACAAGTACATAATGGAGAAGGGGAAAAACATTTCCTGGGATAACTGGGGGTATGTCTACACTTGAGTCCTCTCTCAAGAGAGGAATGCAAATGTACACATCCGAAATTGGAAATGAAATGGGGATTTAAATATCCCACACTTCATTTGCATAATCGCCGAGTGCTGCTTTTCTGCAATAGCGTTATTTTGAGACATCAAACTCGGTCCCCGTGGGGTTATTTCAGGAGAAAAAAATGGAGTGCTCAAAAAATAAGTAAGGGTTACTTCAAGGGAAGGGTTTTCTCTCAAAATAACCCTGCAAGGACTGAGTTTGACGTATCAAAATAGTGCTATTGTGGAAAAGCGGCAGTCTGCAATTATGCAAATGAAGCACGGGATATTTAAATCCCCGCTTCATTTGCAATTTCGGATGTCTACATTTGCATTCCTCTCTCGAGAGAGAGGAATCAAGTGTAGACATACCCTGGAAGCAGTACAACGGCTGTTCTAAGCTGACAAGAGAAGTCACATAGGAAATCTTCTACCAGTGAAGGTCTTGTGGGGGTGCTATAAATTACAGCCCTATCCCATTGGTTCAGAGGCTGCCCATGACAAACCACTGCATTACACAGGGGAAATCTTCACCTGTCCCAGTTAGAGATTGGTTAAAAGTTCTTCCGCATCACTCCAATGGTGCAAAAGGACCTTAAAGAGGCCTGGGTATGGTCACTAGAGTTTAATTAGTGATGAGTGATTTGTTTAATTAGTGATGAATGGAAAGAAGTTAAGTCAATCAGGAAAAGTCTCTCAACATGCCAGGTCCAAATGTAGGGCACAACATGTAACAAGGACACCAGATGAGGGACACAAACATTTAGTGATGGTGGAAATTTCCCCTCCCCTCCAGCTTGTCTAGACTATGATATTAAATTAAATTAAGTGGAGAAGTGTCTATATCACAGTAACCGCTACCACATCTAGTATAGGACACCGCACCCTCTATCTTCTTACTCACCTCAATATAGAGTACTGTATACAGATATAGTCGAGCCAAGACGCATAAACATGACTGAACCTGTCTAGAGAATGGCTCTCATGGTAGAGTAACACACCCCATAAAGAGTAATTCCAATACTGTACATTACTATCCTTCTTTCCATGTTATCTATACAGTGAGAGGTAACTACCTGGAATCAGGAATAAAGAGAGCTCTAGAAGAAAAGGAAGATATTAGGCAAGTTAAATATTAAATTTTAAAAATACAGCAGGATTGAGCATCTACTTTCTTGAAGGTTCAGACTTCATAGATGAAATTAGGGAAGGGAATGGTGCTACCAGCATTTTCACTTTAAATATCTAATGTAAGTAATATAATATAAGTACCTAATATATATGACAGTACAATTACTCTCTGTTTCAATGCTCTGTGTTTGTTTTAGATGAGTTAGGAAGATGTGGTCCCCCACCTTCTATTCAAAATGGAGACATCATTTCTGAACGATTGCCAGTATATTCAGCAGGTTCTTCAGTGGAGTACAAATGTCAACGTTTTCATGGAATGACAGGATCCACAACAATCACATGCCGCTTGGGCAAATGGACAGCCCCACCAGTATGTTCAGGTACATATAGAATTATCTTTGTGACATGAAAAAGGAGCATGGTAAATTACATGACTGTGCTAGTTATTAGATTTCCAAAGTGGCATTTAAAAACCTGAATTTGTGCCTACACTAAATAGTTTGCTATACGGCTATTTAATCTGGTGTTGCAGTTTTTCCTAGCAACTAGGGGAAATACAAATGACAAAATTCTGAACACAGAAGTCTGATGGAAATGGCTTTAAAAATAAAACTTCAGAGCACAGTATGTGGAGAGGAATGTTAATGGGACAACATTTAGAGCTATTCAGTGTGAACAAAGAGCATTTCCTGCTAATTGAGTGTCACTTTGTATCCATTCATACCTCATAGAAATTATATTCACAAAATATAACTGTGTAATAGTGAACCGAATCAAGCACACATGAGCCAGGTATTCATTGAAAACTCAAGCTATAAAGCCAGGCAGGCTTTCTTTTA